AAACCTAGGTACTATACCTATACCATAATGGCAACTACGCTGTAAGTTCTTACTATTCCCTAGGCTAATACCTATAATGGCAAACTTGCTGTAAGTTTCTTTATATTCCCAGGGCTATACCCCTACCCATAATGGCAAAACCCAGGGCTATACCCCTACCCATAATGGCAAAAATACATTTCCACGCGTTTTTAGAAATTTCATTGACTTAATGATTATATTTTCTTGCTCGCACAAACCAGTTCCAAAGTCCAGGAAAAAGTAAGTTGCCATTTTAACTTATGACATTTTTACATGATTCCTATAGATATACCTCATAAAGTGCAAGCTCTTGCTCAAATTTCTTATTCCTATCCTTTATCACAATATAATATGCCTTACGAATCTTTAATATATCAGTTCTAGAAGCTATTATGACAGACCTATTGTTAAGAATAGACCACAAGGTCTATAATGGAAAACGTTTGGCTGATACTCTGTATTGAAGCTGTTTTTACAAACTGAAATACCTATTAAAACATTGGTTTTTACACAATAAAAAACAAACACAAGAGTCACAGCAGTGAACCAAAAAATAGCAATATGAAGTAACAAACATTATTCTTTCAAGTCATTTCAATGAATGTACAATTAGTTCTGCTCCTGGTTATATCTATAATGAATTCAATATTTCATTCTCATATTTCTATCACCTTACTTGTTGGAAATATCAGTTGAAAAAGTTAAAGAAACAATGAATATAGTCTAACTTTTTACCGTACACCAAAATGTTAAACAAGACACCTATAAATAACACTAACCTCCAACCACTCGACTTGTCTTCAGCAAAAGCCCCGGCAATTATCCCAGCTACAAACTGTCCACCAGTATAGAAGCAGGTGTTCAGTGTTACCAATTTTCCACGGATTTCTGGCGGTGATAACTCCGCTACATACACGGGCACTGTAGTTGATACTAAACCTGAAAAAACAATTATTACTTTCAATTTAATGACAGAGAAATCGTAATCTTTATCTATAACGCCAAGGAATATAACTTAAAGATGCTAATTCGCTAAGATATACAAAATAGACAGTTGAATTTAACGTTTTATATAAACTTATTAAAAAAAAAGCTTTCATTACAGCATAAAACATAACACACCATACGAAGTAAAACTTTATTCGATGTTATGTTTAATCAATTTAAAGAAAATTTGAATCATTTATTGAGAAGTAAAACGAAGTGTTATAATTGTTACTCTGTGATACGAAAAAAATTAAACCAAAAGCGATGATATAAAACACGAGTTATAATACTGATACAGAAAATGTGTTTTAATTCTTGTAATTTTAAATAAGCTTCTCCCGGCATATTGATTAGTAATATTTATGTTTTCCTGTTAGTGAAATCTCCATATTTGAGTTAACATGACGTATCTGTGTTTTGAAAACTGTGATATAAATATTTCTTCGTTTGATTTACTGTAAAGGTACACAAACACCACCTACACCCTGTCCATCACGGGGATTCGAACACTGGATTTTAACGTTGTACCTCTATAAACTTATCGCTGGCTCACTGGCATATGTAGTATAAGTGTATTATATTAGTAGACTTTATGTCTGACGGTTACGCAGTCTTTTATAATTAGTTTACCTAGATTTTTTCTGTATTTTGAAAGTTGTATATATATATATATATATATATGAGTATATATTATTAGTAGGTTTTATATCTGACTGTTACTGAGTCTCTATAATTAGTTTGCCATGATGTTTCTGTGTTTTGGAAGCCACTTACATATGAGTATATTTTATTAGTAGGCTTTATGTCTGAATGTTACTGAGTCTCTATAATTAGTTTGCCTTGATGTTTCTGTGTTTTGGAAGCCACATACATATCCAGTATATTTTATTAGTAGGTTTTATGTCTGGATATGTATGTGGCTTCCAAAACACAGAAACATCAGAGCAAACTAATTATAGAGACTCAGTAACATTCAGACATAAAGCCTACTAATAAAATATACTGACATGTAAGTGGCTTCCAAAACACAGAAACATCATTGCAAACTAATTATAGAGACTCAGTAACATTGTTTCTGTGTTTTGGAAGCCACTTACATGTCAGTATATTTTAAGAAGGTACTTTATATCAATTTATTTATCGACGAACTTATTGTGTTAATGCTATTTTCTCATTTTACACAAACAGTATCATTTATAAGACAAGCTAATAATACATACCAGAAAATATTTTAAAAGTAAAAAAAAACAACAACAACTGCAATTCATGCTTCCGCGGCTCAGTTTAAAGCGTACTGCACATATATCTATTTAGCATGCTAAAGTAAAAGATATACATAATTAATATAAGTAATTACCTACACTTTAACACAAAGACCGACAGATTAATAAATTACTGTTTCGCTGTATCTTTTCCTCTTAATTAGTGTTTAGAAAGCGGCCTCTTTGGGTATGTAAATTTTATATTTCTTTATCACATGTATAGCTAAATACAATAATCATAAAATAAAGTGGGCTTTTATGGTATGTATTTATGCATGTCCGAAGTGCAGTAATGAAAATTACTTTCAGTAGATCATTACACACCTCAACAATATCCTTGGAGTTTTCCTCGATCACAACTAAAAATAATAGATAAATGGTGTTTTGTAAGCAATTTTAAAGATTGGTGTTTCAGTTCAGAATTAGTTGCGCCAGCCTTCTTTACATCTAATGAAGGAACAGACTTGGGACATGAATAGTTTGTCCAAATACAAACGTTTCCACTGAATGATTCATCATCTATGTCAGAAAGAAGAATGGTTGATGTCTAATGGCGTACAAAACGAAAACTCTTCGACTCTTCTGACGGACCATTTTACACGCATTTCAAAGGTACGTCAAAGGACTTTAGAAACATATCGAAAGTTTAACAGTGGGGTGTTCTATCATAAGAGACTTTATAAGATCACCAGGGTCTGCTTTTCTTTCTTCTGGAATTGTTTGATTGGACACGTGGGAAATGTTCACGTGTGTCCGATTATCGCTATAGCAACGATTCATTAGACAAATCCTTTTCTTTCCAAGTTCTCAAGAAAGTACGATCTACCAATCCCAAAACATTATATCCAAGAGGTTGAAAGAACACAAGTCTAGGTTACACATATTGCCACGACGATCTTCTGACACATAGAAAAAATAAATATATTATTGTGGTAATAAATCATCGTTTCTTCTACTTCTCTAAATAAAATAGCATAGTGTAGACAAAAAAGAAACTACTTTAAGACCAACAGAATTTACCTTCATTGAAGACAAATAATACTCCGAAATACCAATAAATTTTCATAAAACAAAACACTAGCCGTCTCTAATTTAGCAGTGTAAGACTAGAGGGAAGGCAGCTAGTCATCACCACCCACCGCCAACTCTTGG